CAACATCCTGATAAATGCAGTTTCCGTCAATTACCGCCATTTGGATTTTATCTCTCAGTTTACCACTCATGTTGAATATACTAAAGGCTTTGATAACATTGTTGCCTATGCACTATCCCAAATTGAGATTGATGATATTTCATCTACTGTGATCGATTTTCAAATATCCACTGCTCCATAATCAAGTGATGAAAGAACTTCAACAAACTTTAGCATCCAGTACCTCCTCTTTAAAATTAGAGAAACATTATTCTCCTCTCGAGGATATTCATCTCTATTGTAACATGTCACAAAAACATCCCTGTCCTTTTGTTCCTCAGAGTATGAAATTAACAGTTTTTGAAACATTACATTTTTTCTCGCATCCAGGTATCTCAGCCTCCATCGGTTTAATCGCTAAATGTTTTGTACGGCCAGGCATGAGAAAAGTAATAAAATCTTTTGTGTGCAGCTATAATCACTGTCAACAAGCTAAAATCGCTAAACATATCAATTGTTCTATCAGTACATTTTCTGAACCCGATGCTCGTTTTCCACACATACATATAGATTTTATAGGCCCTCAATCGCCATCTGATAGAAAATATGACTATCATAAACCGGTTCACAAGATGGCTGGAAGCTATTCCAACCACTGACATGACTGCGAAAACCGCTGCTCGTCGTGCCTTTGTACATGGCTGGATATCCAGATTTGGATGTCCAGTTACAATTACATCTGATCAGGGTAAAAATTTTTAATCTAATCTGTTTGAGAGCTTTTTGAGGTTTTTTGGGTGCAACAAGATTCGAACCTATTCGAACCTCTGCATACCACCCCCAGTCAAATGGAATTATCGAATGCTTCCATCAACATTGTAAAACAACCCTTAAAGCACATAATACAGCTTCAATGGACTGAAACTCTTCCACTTGTCCTCTTAGGCATATGCTCAGGCATTTAGAATGATGTCAAAGCAACATCTGCTCAACTTGTTTATGGCTCAACTTTAAGATTACCTTTCAATCTAGTAACCGGTGATGTCATAAACCAGACCTTAAATTCCATATACGTAAATAGTTTACTTCAGAAAATGAGATCTTTAAATTCTATTTTTACTGCCCTACAGGGTAGTCTAAAATTTTCATCAACCGCTCAGTAAAAACTTGTTCTTATATATTTTTAAGATCTGATAAAGTTAATCCTCCATGGACACCAGATCTCATTTAGTCGTTGACAGAAATGATAAGAATTTTATTATTGATGCAAATGAAAACGTACTACAGTTTCAATTGATATCATAAAACCTGCTTACCACCTGCCAGATGACATTACTCGTATCTCATCTTTACTTCTTCCAGTTTCAGCTCCATCCTCACGATGCTTTAACCAAACATCTACCACTAAAAGTGGGTATAAGGTCCATTTCCTAAGCACTTAATCACGGACTACATTCCTTGAGTAAAAACTTGTACTATATTAACGTTTTCAATTATGCATATATTCGTACTGCATCTTTATAAACATGAATAGTATATTTGTATTATATTGTATTTCATATTCTATATTTCAGTATTATAGCATTATGTCATCATTTTTTATATATTGTAAATATTATAATTTTTAATTGTGACATCATCACTGGACGTATACTCTGTAGCATTTCAGCGCGCTAGCGAAAGGTGCCGCAATCAGCCAATCAGCAAGAGGTGCACATCACCTGTTCTGTTACATCACATCTTCTGTCTCGCCTCACATTCTCTTTTAGTGGGTGCCGTTGGAGTAGAAAGACACTACACAAAGCTCCCAGTACAAGCGTCATTCCTGTGTGTATAATAAAATATATTTTTTAAATCAAATGTGTATAATAAAATATATTTTTTAAATCAAATGCTGTTTCATTCATAACCAGGAATCAGATTAACCAATATCACATTTAATAGCAATTCCCTTCAAAACTAAGTTGTTGATAAATTTTAAACTGTTGAGTTTCATTTTTCTAAAACTGTTAATCAATCACTTTTGTGCATACTGTTTATGAATTTTCCGCAATGCAGTCTTCGACATGTCCTTTTTGTCTGGTTTGACTGACTGTCCACTGCGCTATGATGACCTATTACTAGCCACGAATTTACATATGTTGCTGGCTGAAGGTTTTTGAGCGAAGGGCTGATGAGTCTAATGAACATTAAATTAGAAAGAGTTTAACATGAAAAGATGCACATTGTGGATTGCAGATTAAGTTCATTGTGGAAGATTCTCTCTTGCACTCGGCTCTAGAAACAGGTATATAGTTTACTGATTACAAAAGTTTCTGTAATGCAGAATTTATTTCCTTTCCATTAGTGTCTTTAAAAACTCTAAATTCTCTTAAAGTTTGTCGTTCATTTAAGTGGAACCTTTTGTAAAAATTTTCTATTTCTACTTCTCCGTATTTTACATCAGGAGAGTGGGGGGGGGGGGGGGGTAATTGGGTTGAGTATATTAATTTCTTTTATAATTTCTTCATATTCAATGCTGATGTTTCAAATATGAATAGAAAGTAATCTACTTTTCATCATATCAGCAAAACATCTGTTAGTTGATTATACTGAATTTTGGAGAGAGATTTCCTGCTTTTGCTTTGGCTCACAGCTTTGAACTTTATAGCTTTGAACTTAAATATTCTTGAGTGGGTACGAAACGAAGAGTTGCAGGAAATCATGGCGAGACAGAGCATTCTCTGACCACAACTCCCTGCTGATATAATTATAGCCATCAAGTGGAATGTGTGTCAGGAGTAAAAATAGTCCTGAACCTGACTCCTAAAAATGAGCATAAAGTTGCTGGTGCCACTTTTCATCCCTTTCAGTATTTGGTTACATTAGTGGATACTATGGGAAGACAATAGTATAGAACGTGCTTCAGCAGTTTATCTCAGTATTTCACTCTATTATGCTTTCTGTCACTTAATGCACATTTAGGAATATAAGGTTCCCCTTCCTTCCTAACTGTACCCACCGATAACAAAACACTAGATACGATGGCATGATATGAAATTTACGCACTCCTAAACAAGCTGTCTGCCCTTATTAAAGGGAAAGTTTTCCACATGTGAGTGAGGAACTTTTCTTGAATGTCTCATGAACTTGTATCTTAGGGAAATTGAGTATTGCAATGTCTTTCTTATTGTTAAAATAAAATGTTATGAATTCTAAAGTTTTTCTCTTTTTTTAATTTAGTTCAGTTTTATAAAAAGAAGTGATGAACTCTGTCTTATTTAGGGCTCTGGTACGCTCCATTGAGAAGTAACAGAGTTAGGCTCCGGCACAATTTAAGCACTGGGTAGGATATTATTTTTCTTTCAACACAGTGCTCCAGGGCTAACTTAAGGGCTGCTTACGGGGATTATAATGTTATTTTTCAGCATTTCTGCAACATGCTGTTCTGTTATTTCCTCCTTGACTTCATCATACAGGTAGGGTTTTGCTCGGGGGGGGTCCAATTTTTGTATGTGATTTAGTTAACTCTGGGGCATCATCAAATAAATCTGAAAAATTTCTTAACAACCATTCCAATTTTGCTCTTTTGTCTGTGTTCAGTTTTTTCAAAGCTCCGTTTGGTGGCAGCACTACTTTTTTCATTTGCTTCTTCATTTCCAACTGTACAGTAGCAAGCTGAAAATTAATTTTTCCTCCTGCAGCATTCAAAAAATCTATGCCCAGAGTTCATGTTATGCCAGTTAATAAGATGCAAAGGATGTTGCATGATGGTTACATTATTTGAATATGGCAAAGCACATGACAGCTGCCTGTCTAGGAGCAGGGATGCCTTTGTGGAGGATTATTTAAGGCAAAGTAGCTTATTGTTTCATTATACATGGGGAAAACCAGAGAAACACTCATACTATCAGTCCATTCATTCACCTGGATTTAAATTACCAATGTTTAGTAGTCTTAACCACTTTAGCCAGTGAGCGATCACATGGTTGATTTGTGGTCATAGAGTGTCTAGACACTAGCACTGAAGTGGATAGTTTATTGTTGCAGGGCAAACTTTCACTTAGCTTGCAACAAAATTGTGTAATAAATCTCTAATACATTAGCCACTTCTGAGTATGACTCACCCATGTTTGGGGTAACGTTGTGGCCTCAATGAAAAAAATGAAATTTCGGTAAAAGTACATTTACAGGTACTCCTTGGCGAAAATTGGTGATTTTTGGCAGTACATGGGTACCAAGTTTGCGCAATTGTTTGACTTGTTATTTTGGCTTTGTGTAGCACTGATTTTTAAAATTGCTGCTACACAAAGACAAAATAACAAGTCAAAGAACTGTACAAACTCAGTATTCATGTACACATTGACCTATTTTCACTTAAAAAACATCAAAGAATTGCACAAACCAGGCATTGTGTATTCCCTTTATCCATGTACACGTGGACCTATTTTTCACTTAAAAAAAACATCACAGAATTGCAAAATCTTGGCATTGCACACTCCCTTGACTTTGTCCATGTACACATCGATATATTTTCACTTAAAAAGTCAAAAGAGCACCCAATTCTAGGTAAAAGTATATTTATGGAACATTCAGCTACTCAGGTTACTATAAATGAAACAACTCGGCGATAAACAAAACAACTTGGCGATAAATGAAACAACAACTTCACGATAACACAAGGGGTCCTTTCGGTCTAATCTAACCGAAATTTCCTCTGGAAAAACAAGGGCTGACTCTAGTTGATGAAAAGCTATAAGAAATATATATATATTGTTTTACCTATATGAAAATACTACAACTTTGTAACTATCATAAAAAGTGATACTGATTTTGAATAAATTTTTAGAGCTAAATCACATACAAGCATTTACTAACATCTGGTGAGCTTTTCTATACTTTTGTAATTATAAAAATCCATAAATTATTTGTTAGTCCAATCTGATTATATGAATAAAACCAGATTTGGATAACAAGGCATTCAATGAGTTAAATTATATATTTTTTTTCCTTTAGAGGCATACAGACTTAGACTGACTTACTTGAAAAATGCCTCTATCAGTTCTTCACTTCTGCAAGAAGTCCTGATATTTCTTAAGACATACAAAGACGGTTGTTTTTTCTTCAGTTCTTTTACATATTCTTTAAACTAAAGAAAAATATCAATTTCATTAAAATATTAACAGTCAGAAAACTATGCATCAAAGCTAAGATAAAAAATAAAAAAGAAGAAGCAATAAGGGTATAGAAATATGTTATATCATTTTTACAAAATAAGCTATAAAAGTCTTTCTTAATATTTCTTTCTAATGCGTACACACAATTGTTATTGAAGATGCAGCCATAGTGTTGTTTTGTAATACAGCACTTAAAAGAGAGAGAGGTCACTTTAAATGATTATTCAAGTTAGATAAATCACAGACATTCTTTTCACAACATAATTTATATGAAATAAAGGAACACAGAAAAATCAGCTTCAAAGTTCACACTGTCAAGATATTAATAATAATAAAATATATAGGTAAGGAAGGATACAAAAATAACTGGAATCATTCTCCTGCTCATCATGTACATGTAGTGCGAGGCTGCATCTTTAGGACACTGTATGAGGAGCTCTCCTGAGTCAGCATGCCAAGTGCCATCAATCGACAAATAAACATATGATTCTTTTGGCAGTTCTGTGTATGTCTGTAGTGAAAAGACATGAAGAAATAGCAGACTCTCACAAACGTGTGGCTGTGAAGTTTTGTCCTTTACTCAGCAAGCATGCAGTCTGAATACGCATGGTGCTTCCAACAATAGAATGAACGCTTGGACAAATGCATCAGTACCAATGGAGAGTACGCTAAAGGCGATTAAAGTTCTGTTTGGAAAAAAAATAAAATCCATACTTTTTAACAGAAAATTAAGTTATTTTTTGGCCCTCCTTTGTATATCTATATGCAATAAAAAAAAAGGAGAAAAAGATGTAGCAAAGTTGTTGACATAAAACATAGATCTATATTGAAGAGGAAGAATTCTGATTGCATGGAATCTTAATTAAGAAACTTGGCAGTCAAGGCAGATTAAATTCCATTTTTATTTAAATTGGCATTTGTGGCCACAATTCACTTGGCACTCTAATCATGCCTATTTCCAGAACATTCACATTTTTGATACTATTGCAATAGGAAGAGAGCAGAGCGAAATTGCATCCAAGCAGCACAGAGAATGAAGCTAAAAGTGTGCATTTATCCAATATGGCAGTCTGTTAACCTCTTGAGGACCAGCGCATGCAGAATGAAGCACAGCCATGGAACCGAATGCCCTGAAATGGAACATCTGCCACCGGCCAATGTATTTTCAGCAGTTAAAACTACTTTTACAAAAAAATTCATATAAAATCAGCATTTTAATACAATGATCTCAATTTTTGAGTTATGTATTTAATATATTAATTATTAAAATGTAATAATATAAAGAATATCACATTAATAGAAATAAATGTAACATGTGAAATACTAAAATTATGACTATAAGCATGAAAACAAATACTATACACATGAAAACAAAATTAAAAATATGAAATGTAAAAGAAAATTAAGCAATAATTATCTGTAGATAATTAAATTACAAATTAATAATTCTGTTGTTTGTGGAATAATTCAAAACGATAATCTACACACAGGACAATGTGGGCTTTTTCTCCGAGCATATGCCAAGCAAGTAAGATGCATCACGCATCGAGAAAGCTGACATCTTCCCCCTTCTGTAATAATGCTGTAAAGTTACTTTTTAATTAACCAAGAAAATTTATGTTAAGTTTAAAAATAAATATTAAAAAGGACAACTGGTCTAAGTTTTTCCATCACGGAAGTTTGCCGACATTACACTCGGTATAGTCAGCTACATGCATTTTCCCAAATTCTTCTAATAAAAAGAAAAGAAAAGAAAAGGGAAAAAAAAAAAAAAGCAATGATTGAGCTGGATGCATTTTCCCAAATTCTAATAATGAAAACAAAACAAAAAAAAAAAAAAAAAAAAAAAAAAAAAAAAAAAAAAAAAATTCCTATTGAAATAAATAATTATGCCAGCGTCCCTTTAACTTAAACAGCTGTGATTCCCAATTTGCTTACACCAATAAATCTATCAAAACCAGAAGATGATACTTATACATGAAGGTCAAAAGCCACATGACTTAAGTGATGTGAAAACTGTTACCATTTAGTACCATCTACTGGCATTTAAAAATTTCAAAAATTCCTTATGTATACGTGACACTGGACTGAAGAGATTGATCAGAGCTCTTTGCATATAAGCAATGCTGGGCTGGTAAGAGTGGAATCATTGCGTCATGCATATGTGACGCTAGTCCTGAATGGATTAAGAGGAAGATTTTGGTTTAGGTTAGAGAGATTTCAGTTCTCAAAATTTCAAGTTCAAATTGGCAATTAGCTACATCATCAGCATTGCACAAGATGGACTGATCTATAAATAATGCAATCTAGAGAAGTTATTACGACTTTTAGAATAGAGAGGGAGAATTAAGGGGTTACCGTTAATTTTAATTATAATTTTGATTGGCTTATTTTTATATTACATATATAATACATATTAAAGGATGAAGAAGGTACCTAAATTGGCTGAAAGCTGAAGAAAGAACCTAAATTTAGAATCAGACAAAAAAAGCAACTTTATTATTGACATAGATTCTGAATAAAACTCTGTTGATTCTGAGAGCAATCACAATTTCCTTTAAAATTTCCCAGAGCAGGCATCATCTTTGAGACTGAAATTTCCACACTTCTCAAACCATCATCATCTGTGTCATCAGAAACAGCCCTTTGTCCATATATAGTACAAATTTTATGAGAAGTCTAACTAGTTCTTCCTTTTCTAAAATAAAAAAACATAAAATGAAAAAAAAAAAGAACTTTTGGGTTTCCCATTCATAGCACCTCACTGAAACAATTATGCCAGGACACATGCTGGATTTATGATACGCAAGCAGAAGAAACTGTATTTAACCCTGCAGTGCTCGCATGGCATATTGTTACGTTAAAGGTCGCGCGGCATCTCACACACACTCCAGGTTTATTTTTGCTGTACTAATATATACAGCCAAAAGTCGTTAATTCGGACACCCATAATCCGGACCTCAAAGCTAAAAACTTTCTGCGCATGCGCCGCATTGACACATGCGCATAGGCGTTTACGCGTGCGTGTAAGACCTTTACGATTGCGCATATGCCTGTGCGCAAGCGCAGAATAAGTTTTCGCATGCGCATTTAATGTATAACGGACGGTATAAGCTAAAATTATCTAATTATCTATTTAAGTTAATGTTGATGATTGCGTTGTTCCTTAACCTTCAAATTGGATCCGGTTTATTATTTTTTGCAGACTGTAAGAGCAATTTTATAAAAGTAAACTTAAACTTTCGATTATGTCAAATAGAATTTCCGATGCTGGAGCTCCCACCAAACGAAAGTATGTTTCTATGTCCATCAAACAAAAAGTGGAATTACTGCAAAAATCGATAAGAAAAAGAAGGTGACAGAGGTTAGTGAAAACGAAAAAAATTCAATTGGAAAGTAGGAGGTATTTCGGCCACAGCAATTACGGGACTTGAACAGCGGAACTTTGTAACTGAACAAGAAATTATGTCTGATTATAGAATTAAAGAGAAAGTAATATAACATAAAACGAAGCAACTTAAACAACTTGCATTGAAAGAAATGTTTAATAAAGTAAACAAATAAATTTAAGGTTTTTTTTTTTTTTGTAAATGGGATACCCTTTAGATCATAATTGTTCTTTATTTATTAAAACGTAAAGGGATGCTGCCAATGACTGAGATTTAAAACTGATGATCCATAAGTAGTTAAAATCGATAATCCGGAATCGCCAAAGTCCCGACGAGTCCGGATTAACGACTTTTGACTGTATTTAGGTAATTTAGTTCAAATTTATGAATGCAAAGGGATTATTGAAGTAACACATATATATTTGTGGCATTATATTACAAACAATAATTAACAAACCTTCAGTTTACAGTGAAACAATTTTATTCAACTTACGCAAATACAAATGAAATTATCTCATTTAGCTAGTTGCACAAATTAGCAATCAGTGTATATTTGCTGAGCAAGTTCTAAACATGGAAATTTTTTATGACTGCAGCATTTATACACAATATATGTATTTGCGTAAGTTGAATAAAATTGTTTCACTGTTAACTGAAGGTTTGTTAATTATTGTTTGTAATATAATGCCACAAATATATATGTGTTACTTCAATAATTCCTTTGCATTCATAAATTTGAACTAAATTACCTAAATACAGTCAAAAGTCGTTAATCCGGACTCGTCGGGACTTTGGCGATTCCGGATTATAGATCATCAGTTTAAATCTCGTAAGAGGCATGCAGAAATTCTAAAATTAAAAATATGAAACCGTAATTTATGAAAATAAAGAACAATTATGATCTAAAGGGTATCAAAATTTACAAAAAAAAAAGCTTATATTTATTTGTTTACTTTAAAACATTTCTTTCAATGCAAGTTGTTTAAGTTGCTTCGTTTTATGTTATATTACTTTCTCTTTAATTCTATAATCAGACATAATTTCTTGTTCAGTTACAAAGTTCCGCTGTTCAAGTCCCGTAATTGCTGTGCCGAGAATACCGACTAACTTGTCAATTGAAATTTTTTCGTTTTCACTAACCTCTCTGTCACCTTCTTTATGTCTTTATCGATTTTTTGCAGAAATTCCACTTTTTGTTTGATGGACATAGAAACATACTTTCGTTTGGTGGGAGCTCCAGCATCGGAAATTCTATTTGACATAATCGAAAGTTCAAGTTTACTTTTAGTGTACCTGTTCTTGGAACGGCCACATTCATGACATCTCTGCCTTTTAGTAGCTCGAGCTTCTTCTGTAAGCTGAACTGTACTCTCATCTGGGAAAAGGCTCTGAATATCCTGCTTGAGATTTTTAGGTAATGATGAACACTGAGAACGTCTACACAAGAAACCCAAAAGTTTTAAAAAACTCACTGCGTCTGGTGCTGATTGATAAATTATTTGCACGATATAGTATTTGAGCATTTATAGCTGCTACATTCATCATGCTATAAAATATGAACATAGACCATCTGTTTGTTTTTCCTAGCGACATTATAAGTGCTACACAACTGGTCAACAGTATCAACTAATGATTTAGTTGTGTTATAAAAGGTTATCAACTATGGCTTGTTTGTTTCAAATGATTCATCAATTGCATCATCATGATGCATAGTGGAGAGAATCAAAACCATCTTGTTTTTTAGTTACATAAGAGATTAAAGTTGAGTCATTCTGCAACCCAAACAATGATGTTCCTACTTCCCGACTCTTTGCTTGCGTAAATTCTACAGGAATTTCACTCTTATTCTTCCTCATGGGTCCAACCAAAGTAAGATTATTCTGAAGCAAAAAGTTAGCTAAATCTAACGAGGTGAACCAATTGTCTACAGTTAGATTTCGACCTGTTTCTGAGATTACAAACTCAGCCGTTTCACATCTGCTGGTTTGTTGCTAATTTCGAATGGACCTGCAGGCTGCTTGCCAGGATATATTTCTAGGTTTACAGTGTAGTACATCCTAACATCTACTAATGCAAATAATTTTATCCCAAACTTATTTGGTTTACTAGGGATGTACTGCCTAAAGAATCATTTAACCCTAAACGCTTCTAACTTTCATTAATTGTACAATACTCTCCAACTGAATAAGCATTCTTACAATTTTCAGCAAATGAAGAAAACACATCACGTATAGGCGCTAAATTGTCAGTTATCTTCCTTATCTCTCGTGTGTCCTTATTGTTGAACCTCAAACAATATAAAAGGAATCTAAATCGTTTTTCAGAGATTATTAGATGGCATAGCTCAATACCCATTTTATCAGAGGACCATATCTCCTTCATATTTGCATGATTGTCTTTTCTAGAAGCACAAATGTAAAATATGCATAGAAGCACTTTTATTTCAATTATGTCAGTCAAATGGGCATCCCTTTCACGAGAATAATTTTCCTGTACTGTGGATATCTTTTCCTTTGTGAATTTAACTATATTAGATAGCATGCCATTGTCAAAAAAATATGTCCAACATAGCTCCAGCATTCGAGCATTCTTCGCAACACCTTTAAATTCTGGTAAATGAGTGAGAATATTATATCACCGAGTGTGTATATTTTTAGGTGGGCAAACTTTTGACCATTTTGATGATTCGTTCCGACCTAGGATATAATTATTCTCAATATAATCCTCACTATCGCTATCATTGGAGACTATTTCCTGCTCAGTGTCTGTGTTTGCTTCTCTTGTTTCCACTCTATCATCTTCTATATCACTATAATCATCAAACTCATCACCTGATTCATCTTCTTCCATAAGCATAGGTAGTAGTATTTCTCTATCACATTCATTTGCCATAATGGATTTTTTCTAAGAAGTCATCTTGACTCTAAAGGTAAGAAAATAACTAATAAAAAAACAACTGTTGCCCATAAAAATATAAAAAATATACCAGAAGAAATACATTCTTTTTACATTTAGAATTAAACACATTTACAAACAATTTCGTTTACCTATCACTAAAATGATAAAAAAACACTATTAAGGACAGATGTTGATAATTAAAAATTAAAAATGCTAGAATATATACATTTAGAATCAAAAACGGTTTCCTATACTCCAGTAGTGCACATCGGCTTATAACCTCTTCCTCTCAGCACTAAAATGAAAATGGCGTTGTTTTGATGATTTCTACTTATTCGTGTATAGTTGATAGAAAGGTAGATGGCAGCACAAGCTTGATCGCGCATCCGTTTATAAAGCCACTTAAAAAAGAAACACCCCTGGCGTCTGTGGGACGCCGCACAAGCAATGCAGGGTTAAACATCTGCTTTGATCAAGGGCACTCCTTATCAGCATTAAAAAATAGAAGAAAATGCAGTTTGATTTGAAAAACTAAAAAGCTCCTCAGATGATCCCATATCAGAGATAGGCTAAAGCCAGCCATTTTAATTGCTTAATCAAGATCATTACATAGAATCCTGTGCATCGACATTTTCATCTCTTTCCTACCTGATTTTTGTGAGCTAACTACCAAAATCAGCAGTACGAGTCTATTGTTACAGTGTATATGTGCATATATTGGCATGACTATACCAATCATTAACCTACTCTGAGAACACAAGATGTGCTAGAAAGCAGGTGCTTCGCCAAACAATGTAGTCCTATCATTTCTGGCAGCTTTAAATTAGAAATTAAACAATGAAACATGAACATTATTGAGATAAAAAGACTCAATCAGGAAAGAGAACTTGGGAAAAGAATATTATCATCCCTAAATTTTTATTTAAAAATGAAACAGTAGATATGTCAACCATTTAATGACTAACAGGAACAGATCCCGTTTTTTTGTGCACTTATAATCTTCTTTTAAAAATTGTAATTCAAATTTTTTTTTTAAGTTTTTCTGGGAAGATGTGTCTTCTAATCATAAGCTGCAAACAACTGGGGTGAATGATCGCAATGGCCCTGCCCATATTATGTACTAAAACAGATTTTTTTGGCCTATGGTTAAAAGTACTTGCCCACACTTATTCTATATATTTGAAGCTGAGGATTGGTAACAAGTAACAGAATGTAAGTTTAAAAAATCTGATCTTTCTTTTATTTAAAATCTTGATAATGACATATTTTACATGCAAGATACAGTCATTTTATATCATGCTAACTAGCTTTCAAAAAAAAAAAAAAAAAAAAAAAAAAAAAAAAAGGAGCTACATCACATTTTATAAGTGCCCTCTTTAGAATTTTTTTTATTAGCAGTAACAGACAGTGTTTTAAACAGTTTGTGAGGTGTTACTTGATCTAGAAATATTAACCCCATCAGACATGAAGCGAATTAACGCAATGTTTAAAGACTGAGCTAAAAAGACTAAGCTAATTAAAAAATTAAATTATTATTAATAATTATCACATAATTAATATATAACTTTTTAAATTACGAGCAAAATGTAACACTATCTCTCTCTACTGTTCTCAACATCCCAAGAAGGTTTTACATAGTCTCACTCTCAAAACGTATGCCAGTCTCATCACAGATTGATCGTGAAGAGGCCTTGATGGCATATAGCCTCGATATATAATTGTACTGTATTAGATTTCATCACAGACTATTTGTGATTAGAATATATGTTTGACATTCCATCATATACTGCTACCGTGGAAAAAATCGTAATTCTGTACATTACAGCTCTCCTCTGGTTCTGGGGTGAAAAATTACTGCATGTGAGCAAAAAAAAAAAAAAAAAAAAAAAAAGACTTTTACATTAATATCCCCCCCCTCAAAATCATAATCTCAGATGAACACTGCCTTTTAGGCATTTAAAATCATATCTTGAATCTGGGTTTTCTTTTAGATTTAACTATATTTCAGAAAGGAGACAAACAGATTATAATTTACTTGATTTAAACTGACATCCTGAATACTTTGTTCAACTTCACATAACTCCGATCTCTTTTGTTTCACAAATTCTCCTCTACTGGCTTTCTGTAATACTAAAAATCATGCAATTAAAATAATGTTTAGTTTAAATTATATAGAAATACAAATTCTTAATTAAGGATCTAAAAAAAATTTATAACACAAATATATAACTCACACAATATGAATTATAGTTTTTCATATTGCCTTTCTTGCTAAAAATTTCTTTCCAGGACAAGGCATGCATTTTGAGGGGGCTGGGGAATTATTAATTACTTTTTATATGGGAAGTTGGAATGAATAAGAATGCATATAACTGTGAATATGAAATTGAGAGATGGATTTTTACTAGCCGAATTTTCCATCCAAGAATCTGGAAGGCAGAGAAATAAGATCACCCAAGCAGAAAATTTTTCATACTATCTTATTATTATGACATCCATTATTTAACCTTTTCTGGGGGTCTGGGACATATATGTCAAGTGAGTTCACTACTTTAAATGTGTCTCAAGAAATTTCAGTAAATTATGGAGATTTAAAATTTACTGCTTACTATGGAGTAGGAAGTGTAAGACCATTTTCATTTGTGAAGTTGTTGATATGACACAGTCTATTAAATGAAAGTTCTTGGTGGCACTTAAATAATGGATGTTATAATAATAATAATAAAAAAAAAAAGACTAAAGTTTTTGTAAAATTTATAAACTCCCCCTCCTTTTTTTAAAATATAATTAACACTATTTCTTAGCTCTGTGATAAAAGTTAGAACCAGCAAATTTTTATGAAAATCATTTTTGAATTAACAAAATTCTAGAGGATTTCTAAGTTTTATTTTAATTTACATGTTATTTCTTATGTTGAATCTTGGTAAAAATATATTTCAGGGTGACCATTGATGAAAACTACCAATTGGCCAGCAAGGCACAATTTCAAGATGGCCCCTACACAAAACCAAAATAACAAGTCAAAGAATTGCACAAACTCAGTGTCCATGTACACATCGATCTATTTTCACTTTAAAAAACATCACAGAATATCTTAAACTCGGCACTATGCACCCCCTTGACTTTGTCCATGTACACATCGATCTACTTAAAAAAAATCAGAAGAATGATGATGTCATGTAATATTAAAACAAAGTTACTCATTACCAAAACTGAACAAAATTTGTAGCCAATCAAAGTTCAATAAACTGCATTTTAAAGCACACGATGAAATGATATAAAAAAGGAAATACATGTTATCGCATATACACACTACAAAAAGGAAATATCGACTTACCATATTTATTAATTTCTGTGTCTTCAGTCTTTGACACATAAAATTCCTTATCAGCATCCAAAACTTTCTAAAATTATCTGAACTAGAATACACATACTGCCGTCACCACATAAATTCACAAAAATAAGTGTCAAAAAAATCCTCTATAGTGGCAGACTATTTCTTGCATAAACCTTTGTGATAAGCCCATTCAAAATCATCTGAATGATTTTTACATTCGATCATGTGCATTTCCTTCATACAAACAGGACACTTATATAAATCTTCATTTACACACCAATCAATTAATGCTTTTTTCCCGTTTCGTTCCAAATCATACAGAAACTTCAGATTATTCTCATTACATACAGCCATCTTACGGTGTGCAGAACAAAATAAGCAACATACTCCCTAACTGACATGCAATGCAGAAATAAGCCCTTACAAATATTCTCTCATCAGTCAAATTCATCACAATCACGCAACCAATCACATCCTAATAAGGTTTCCATTCAGCTACTCAGGTTACCATAAATGAAACAACAATTTGGTGATAAATGGAACAAATTGGGGATAATCCAAGGGGCACCCTTATAGACTAATTTGAATCTTTCCTGCAGTTCTATCATTTCATCTATTCCACCTAAGAATGTAAATGAACTGAGTTTTAAATAAGAAGCAAGAATCTAAAAGACAAAACCATGAATTTCAGCCTGTCTGTCTCTCTAGTCTGCAAGAAATGCAAGTTTTTTTTTTTTTTTGGTACTTTTCCGCTTCGGCGGCGCAAATCTCGCCAAGCAGACTTTATTGGCGACAACATATAGTATACACATAAAAAATGTTAAATGTTAGTTCTAAGATTTTTTTTATTTTGAAGGCGTAAATATTTTAATATTTAAAATTTTGTAAAAAGGCAATAAATAAAAACAATAAATTTGTAAAAAAACAATTTAAAAATTTACTATGACTTCATGGTTCAACATCTTGATTCGCCAATTCATATCACATAACCCCAAGTGATCTTATCTGACGTAAAACTGTGCTACAAAAATCTAATTCTCTCAGTAATTATCTACATTAATTTCAAGTTAAATCTTAATTTGGAATACAATGAAGTCACCAAAAAGTTCCTTCCTTCTATTTACCATAGACTGAATTCCGAGTCTTTCCTCTCGTTAAATTTTAAAGTGTCTCAGTTTTTATCTGGTCACGGTAAATTTGCAAGTTATCTGTTTCGTTTTAATCTACGATCAAACAATTTATGTGAATGTTCAAAAAGAGTTCCTCAGGATGTGGAACATTTGATTTTCTCGTGCCCTACATTTGATGGCCCTAGATTATGTTTACAGAACGATTTGAAAATGTTCGGAGTGACCTGGCCAGTGAACTTATGTGTTTAACGATACAATGGGGAGTCCAGACTGCTGTTCTCTGCTTTTGTTCGCTTTATTTATGCATGTAATTTTTAATGTTTATTTATACATGTAACCTTTAATGTTCTAGTTAACTTACTTCTGTAAGCCCCGTGTTGTACATATGTGGTGCACGGGGAGTCTGTATGTTCTCAAAGGAAAAAAAAAAAAGTTTAAATGCTAGAATTATTTCAATTCGGTACGAATAGCTTACTCAGAAATTTTGTAAAACCACAGTGCTTTACTTCTAGTGCATTCTCATTAGAATTGATGAATTTAACCTTTGACTTTTCTATATTTTCGCCTTTGGGTGAGCGATGTGATTGCATCTTAATTGACTTAATTACTGCAAATGGCCTAAGGGCATAAAATTGAACTATGGTAAAAATTCTACGCAATTGCATGCCAGTATTGAAGGAAACAATCTGATAAGAAACGGCTGCAACTTGTTTTGAAGATGAGGCATAAAATATTCCCAGCAAGGATACTTTGTTTGGCATCAGTTGTACCATTATTGGCGACGTTATCGTCTACGCCAACAAAACGGTAAAGTACTGTTTTTTATTATTATTATTATTAACCTTTAAAAGACGGGTGGCCTAAGAATCAGCCAGAGCTGCAGTGTCTCAAAAAGACGGCTGTGGCCGAAATATCGGCCAGCAAATTCCCCTCCTCCATCCTTCAGGGTGCGGAGATAGCCATTGTCCAAATAACCTCCCTTGTCACTTATACAAGATGACCTTCGCGCCTCCCAACTGTGGGGTTTCGTAAATTCCCTTTCGTTTCCCTCAGCAGTGAAATCTTAGCAATTTTACATTAGTACTAATTTCACAAACTTTTCAGTCTCATTAAAAACGTATTTTTTCTTTAAACTCCCCTTTTTATTGAAATTTTTGTATTTAATAATGCTGTTTGAAACATGCAAAATGCAATGGAGTGCAATGCAATGAAAATATAATTAATAAAATCTGTTTTTAAAGTAAAGGAAAATAATTAAAAAAAAAAACCACTAAAGGATAAAAAAAGCTTTTATCACAAAACTGCAAGAAAGAACAATGAACAATAATGTAGTTGAAAGACGAAATAACTTAACGATACAATGGGGGGGAATCAATAAATTAAACTGAATAAGAATACTAATGAAAAAGGTAAACGAAACTAATATAAGAAAAAATATAATGGGATTTGTTTGATATATAAATATAAGCTGTTACACAATGCTTGGAAACAAATAAAAGCGTACTGCCGATTTATATGAGAAACAAATAGTTAAACATCATTTTCGAGTATAAATTTAAAATGTTAATTAGTACATGTAATTCTAAACTAAATTCAGTTTGGAAACAAACAAAAACTGAATAAACTATGAACTGATTATAGGTGTGCATTTGCTGCTAAGGCATATTTTCATTATGATGCAATATCAAAAGTTAATATTCCCAACATACGACAATTATTTAGTTACGAAATCTCACCATAATATGTTTCCCTAATTTAGGGAAAAGAAACAGCAGAAAAGAGAAAAAAATTCAACAAATTCTTTTATATTATTCCCTAGTCTCGTATCTGAAAATTAACAAAGGCTACCTACAGGAAAAGTTGCAAAAGAGTAGTAGTTTCACTAAAAGGGGGTGGAAATGCATTTGGATTTCCCGTCTTTTTAAGTGAAACCTTTCCAAACTGCCCAGTCTCTTAAAGGTTAAAAACTTTTGTAACTTTAAACAGAAATGCAAATACTATTTTTTGTTGTTTTGTGCATTGTTATAATTACTTAATGTCTGGGTATTGAAAGATAAAGCCAGACCAAAAAATTATCCAACACTTTGAAAAGGTTAGACTATTATTTAGCCGATTTCATTTAACCTTATAACATGATTGATCCAAAATATTTAGGTGGGTAGTTAAGTAATGAATAGGAAGAAAAAACGGAAAAATTAATTCATGAAAGCATCTTGACGTCCTCCTTAATACAGACTTACATCACAGTTCCTTTCTTGAAATATTATTTAGCAAAACTAGTGGAAACTTATTTAAATGAAGACATTAAAACATTAAAAAAAAAAAAAAAAAAAAAAAAGGCCCTCTGCAACTTTTAATGTTTTGTTATAAAGTTAGAAAGCTACCTAACCCAATTCTGCTTTAATGAGAGAATTGTCTCAATATTTAGCTCAGTACAGAACTAAATGATTAGCAGCAGTACAAAATGACTAGCAGAAAATTAAAAGCATTTTTTTAAATCTAAATAAAATGACTGGTGAAAGTTCATAACTAAATTAAGTGTAATGAATAAATATATATTGTTCAATAATTCACAAATTTGTATTAGTCATCAAATCTAAATAAAAATCATCCTTAGACAGAAATAAGCATAAAACTAAAACAGCACTATAAACAAAGTTTTT